TCAGCATGCTCAACCTAGGGGTTTGGGACCCAGGCCCCAGGGGTTTGAGGCCCGGGCCCTCAGGGGCCTGGGGCGTGGGCCAATGCGGAGAAGTCGCGACCTTCGACACAACAAGATTAGTTCAACAAGTTGCCGGGATCATGTCAGGACCAACACATTCCATTTGTCCAGGCCTTCATGAGCCTAGCTTAGGGTAGCCCCTGATGAGCATGCTCAGGCCCCCAGCTTGACACCCAGGCCTTTGGACCAGATTAGTTCAAGCTGGCTGCCGACTCCATGTTCAAGCCGGCTTGGGGCCCAGGCCCCCAGCACAAGCCTGGGGCCGGGCCACCAAAGCTTGTGCGGCAGTTTTCACCCTCCGTTTACTGAAGCCATCCAACACGCCCCCCAAGGTCGGCGGATTACATACTGGGGATACGTAGCATTTAGGTTACCAATACCTAGGTTCCCCAGTAATTAACCCGTTTTCCTCGGCTTTTTGGCATCCGAAGTTCCTTTTACTAACAAAGAGTGCCCTTTTTGGTTTCAGGTTATGGGAGATTCTAGTTAACGTATGACCCTTTGACAGGGTTACAGGGTTGCGCCATTGGGGGCTTGATTAGAGGTATAGGTAGCGAATTAGGGGTATACAAGGACTGCAGGAGGACTGCGGGACTTGCATGAGTTCCCTGCTAGGGAGATTTTGTGCGCTCCAGGTGGCATCCACCATGCATGTAAACATCAAAAGCTACAACGACACCATCACAGTCTTGCGAGAAGCTCGATGGCAATTTGGGATAAGCATGCTCTCCCTGAGGTGCTGTATAAGTTGGGTACTGCTTCCACTCAGTAACAGTTGGATACAACCACAAACCCTAAACCCCAAACCATAAACCCCAAGGGATACCCCTAATTTAGGGAAACCCCAAGATTACCTCTGAAATTGGGAAACACTTGTTTACATGCCCCTTATTTTGGGAAACCTTTGTTTATATAAAGTACAACCCAGGAAGGCATCGCCTCCTCAGAGTCGGCCTCCTGGGGCATGGTACCGGACATGACTTTTGGGCAGGCTGTCAGGGGCGGGACTTCGGTTTTAGGATATAGAGGGACAAAGCTGAGGGGCTTAGGGTGTAGCATTTAGATGGATAAGTTTAAGACTGAGAATTAGAGGGCTTGGGGCTTAAGGTTCTGGTCTGGGCTTCCGGTTGACTTTAATCCCCTTTCACTAAATCACTACCCCCGCCACTCGCCTAATAATGGTTCTTTGCAATACAGTACCACGATATCATGGGGAAAGATTTGGGAGGGGATTCACAATAAGCGGAGAAGACAAGGATTGTCCAAGACCTTCCCTGTAAATATTGATGTTTACTGCCTTGTCTCCGTAATCCCCGCCTCCTTCCATCTTGCGGCTTGAGCCCCAAACCCGAAACCTGCAGATCCCAACCCCTAAACCACGCGAGGCGCTGTTATTCTACACAGATCGAACTCCCCACGGTGCGGTCTGGCTGAAGCTCGGCTAGCTCGGAGAAGGAGACCTCATCTTTAGTAAGATGGGATGATTAAATGGTCCCTAGGATTATGGGGTTGAAAAGGGTTCAAGTAAGCCTCGGGATTCGGGGTTAGAGTTGGGTTCCTTCCCCCAACTAACATACAGACATACAGCGAGCCTTTGTTTAAAGCGAAGGTAGTCTTTACAGGCCCCTTTACGAAGTTCCATTTTAGTTTGGGGGAGGGTGTTCGGTATGCCCGACACCTTCAGCCCAGTGCCTGCCGTTTGCTGCACAGACACCACAGCGGGCTAAGTCCACCCCCCTCCCACAATTGTTTTTCCTGCTCCCTAGCCGTCGCGCGACGCGGCTTTGCTTTAGCTGCACGCCGTTTTGAGTCAAGCTACAAAACGCCCCTCCGTTGCCGATGTAAGCCGCCCGACGCCCGAAACCTTTCACTAAACCCTAGACCCCTGTAACCCCACGTACCCAATGTTTTCATCGGTGCAGCTGCACTTTACAAGCCTTAAAACAGACACACCCAAAGCTTGATTATTTGGCCAAGGAAGGGAGAGCCCAATTCAGTGCGGACCTCCGCGGAGATCCGTGTGCTTGTCACAGATGCTTGCTTGTTGTTGGGTTCAGGCGGTAGGACTTTTTTGTGAGGGTTTAGCGTTCGAGGTGGGCGCCTGTGACCCTGATTGCCAACAGCTTAGTAGTACGTACCCCCTAGTTAGTAGGTACACCCCATAAACCGTCAGGAGCTGCCTCAACTGTGGGTAGTTGGTGTTGCAGGTAGGGTCTTTGAAAATAGAGTGCGTTCAGGTAGACTAGCACCCCATACAGAATGAACATTGTATCCCACACAGATTGGAGAGCGTAGCTGCCTGATTAACGGTTCTTACAAACCCAATTACACCCTAAGTAAACCTGAAGCCCTGAACCCGTTATACCCTGAACCCTAAAGACCATTATGCCCTAAATCCTTTATATCTTAAACCCTAAACAACACTATACCCTATTTCCAGGACCGGCCCATCCTAGATGAGACATTCACTGGAGCCCAGGAAGCTGAGGAGCTAGGAGGCCCGATCTGTGCCTTGTGAGTTCAAGAATTCGTTGTTTTTTTTTTTGTTGTGCGGAGGGGGAGGGTTGGTTAGGGCCTGTTAGGGCTTGAGGTTTTTTTTGGGGGGGATTTAGGGTCATAGGGATGTATATAGGGTGTCAGGGTGAGAGTTTAGGGCTTAGGGTGTTGGACACAGTGCCGAGGGCGTCGGGTATGAGATCTTAGGTTGCTTTGGAAGACTTTGAATGTACAATACCTCCCAAACAGAAATCCAGATGTTTTATGCTTTGCTCCTCTGCATCTAAGGTGCTTTGTCTCTGATGCAGGGACCTACCAAGGCCTTAGAGGGCAACACCTAGCCGCCCCAAATCGCAGACCCTGGCTCTTCAGCCTTAGAGCCTGAACCCTGAACCCCAAAAACAATGAATCATGAACCCTAAACCCTTAAATCTTAATCCCTAAACCCGAACAGAAGTTCCCTAAATGGTTTTAAGCCCAACCAGGCTTCCAAGGGCAAGGTCCACTCCAGCTGTAGGGCGGCTGATGTGATTGGCCCGGCTTTCCTCCTGACATTCTTAGGCGCAATTGTTGCTTAGCTGCCTGGGCCAGCGCATACTGGTAAACCCCACTACCTGCAGTTCTTTTGGTTATATTTACTAACTATATGGAGCGATTGCTACTAAAATGTAGGCAGTTAGGGTTTCAGGTAAGGCTTAGAGGCACTTCTTGCTTAGCTGCCTCAAGGTTGGGACATAAGGCTATTGAGTTCTCTACGACGGTTACCTTCTTTGGAGCATTGTTCTTGCTGGCCGGGCTTTAAGAATTAGTTGTTTGATTTTCCACGTTATGTATCAAGGAAGCAGTTACCGACTAATTTAATTTGTCAACTGACCCGTGCCTGAACCCTGAACCAAGGTGTTGTTCCTGGTGTTCAAGTTCCTTGTCGACGCATCCCCTGTCAACTATTGCCTTGGCATCGGCGTTTATGTCAATTTGCAGGACTAGCCATGTTTGGGAGCTTTCAAGCATCAAACACAAAAATTTCCCGTACTCCGAATAGGGGCTCCTAGGTTTTAAGAAGCCTCCATTTTCTGCGCTCGGGGTGTGCCATCATCAATCAGGATGGGAATCCAAGAGAGCATTTTGAGTGAGTTACAGAATGTAGCATGGGACAACGAGAGCGCAAACATCACCAAGAAACCGGTTTGCTGTCCAGTCTGGATGTTAGGGTTTCGCCGTAGAAGCTCTGATGAGAGTCTTTGTGGCAAAACTTTGGCCTTAAGCCTCCAAACCAGCACACCTAATCCTAAATCCTAAGCCTTAAAATGCCCCTAAACCCCAATAATACTATAGTAGTTTCCATTTTATTTTCCATTATCCCATTATAACCCCAATAATACTATAGTAGTTTCCATTTTCTTTTCCATTATCCCATCATCTCCCTGGATTTGACACCTGGGAACCCCAAAGCTCCTCTTGAGGACAACTTGATCTTCACGCTGGTCCTGGTCACAAGCTACGACTTAGCTGAGCGATTCCAGGCGGGTCTGAGCCTAGCTAAGACTCATAGTAGGCTTTAGGGTGTAGGGTGTAGGGTTTAGGGTTTAGGCTTTAGGCTTTAGGGTGTAGGGTATATATTTGGGTTATATTGGGTTATATGGGAATAACGGAAAAGAAAATGGAAACTACTATAATGGGTTATATTCTCATAGTAGGGTTTAAGGGCTAGGACTTGGGCTAAGTTTCAAGGTGTGGGCTCAAGTTACTGAGGGTTAGTAGGGATAAAGGAGTAAATTCTACAGGGGCTACATAGGGATCATGTTCCTGTATTCCCTGTTAACCACGAGTAAGTAAGCTGAGCTTTGGTCAGGAGAGTTCGGGAGTATCGGTGAAGATTATGTTACCCACTTGATGAACCCCAGCGAATTTAAGGAGGGAGAGCAACTTCACCGCACAGGGTCCACACGGTGATGGCATTTTAAATCGTAGAAATGCTAAACCCATCCAGAGTTGTGCACCTGCCTCATACTGCCAGTTGTCAACATTCCGCACACCATACCGTACGAAGCCAATAGTGTCCTGCGTTTGACTTCCCTCCGCAAGCTGCAAGGGTGCTGTTTGACGAATGCTTACATGCACGGAACAATATGGACGCTTCGTGCACTTGTTCAACCCAAGACATTAAGGCTTAGCCAGACCTCACACCCAACACCTCTCCAACAGCGGGAGCCAATACCTCCCCGCCAAACCCTAAACTGCAGCCCCCGCCAGAAGCAATAAGATTTACAACCCTGGAGCCCCCCAAACCTTTATGCCAAGCCCTAAACCCTAAACAGTACTTTCCATTTTCTTTTCCATTATCCCTATATAACCCTAATATACCATACCCCTATATAACCCTTAAGGGGGTACTAACAGAGGCTGGCCCCGTGGCTTCTGGATGCTTAGTGGGCGCCCACAAGATGGGAACAGCACTGGGCTTTGTGTTGATGTGGTTGGTGCTCAAGGCCGCATGGGAGCTTCAGAAAAGGGGTAGATAAGGTTATACAGGGAGTCAGGGTGTTCTATAATAGGTGTATATATGGGGATTGGTCTAAATT